TTACAGAATAATAAGCTTCTCTTTGCTCTTCGAGACGTGTCGCGGTGCCTCACGTTTCCCCAGCGAGCCTGACAGCTTTGCGCCGAACGATGCGTTTTCGCGTGTGCGTGATGCGTGTGCGAGGGCGAGTATTACTTCGAAATCAATTTTTCGGCTTCCCCGTCTTCTCCGCATGACGTTTTTAACTGTTGAAATCGTTACCGTGCGCTCTCCGGCGGTACACACAGCGTTGCCAAGTTTACACGCAAAATCAATGCCGTAATAAAAGTAATAATAAAGCGGTTGAGTAAGAGTGAATCCTCGTATGCAAAATGGGTTTTTGTCGTGACGGGAAAGCATTACAACATTCTCGGAATCGCCGATTATCGAGAGAACATTTCGTCGCAAAAATCGTGAATTCTCCCAAAAATCTCGCGAAAAGTTTAATATGATTAACAATTAACCATTTCTGCCGATAAATTTTTCGTAAAAAAAAAAAGAATCGCAAGAAAGTACATCGGCAATCAATTGCCTTCATTTACAAGCGAGATATTACCTATATTTCTTCACAAACAAAATACAGAAAACTGAAATTTTATTACTAAAAAATATCTAAAAATTTAGCAAAAAAAAAATATCAGACGATGCTTCTTATACGTACATCTATAGCGTAATCTTTTATGTTGCACGGAAGCTTTTCTAGGTCATAGACCGTGCAAAGAAAGGAATTGAAAGAATCAGTGCAAGAACGAGGCGGTCCCCGTGACTGAGGAGTTTACTTCTACATAGTATCTTTTCATACTTTTGCAAAAGTGTGAATATTTGAAGTATCTAAAATATATTCGTGCGTACATAGAGAGAGATCATATGTTAGAAAACGCGAGACGCGTCTTTTAACGGCACGAATAATACGTTTCTATGAAAATGTAAACGGGTTGGAAAAACTCTCTGACTCCTGAAATCTATTTCAGATATACGAGTCCGTATCTAGGGTGGATTTTCTAAATTATTGACTCACCTAATTCTTGTATCGAAATCTATTTTAGTCTCTTAATCGCGGTGGATCGAGGCCACTATCGTTTCTAGAGTTGACCTTTTGCATTTATGATCATTTGCGTTTGCATAAAAAAAAAAAGTTTTTTCCCCTCTATACATCGCGATTGTGTGACAGTCGGTTACGACACGACGCTTCCTCGGGTCTTATTACGATCCTCGGAAATTGGTAAAAATTACAAACGTGCGCAAATTCATGGTGACCAATGAAGTTATAAATATTTCTGCAAATTCGCTCACTTCTGTATAATTTCCTGTATAATTTTTTCTGTATAATTTTCACCAATTTCCGAGAACCACACAATAGAGATCCCCTTGTCACAGAAACGGATGTATACCTGCCACGATCCGTGCAACTATAATCGCACAATCGCGGCGAGAAGTTTGTCTTTTTTAATTTGTCTTTTTTTTTATCTCGACCGACGACGGTTTTCTTTTCTTTAGCGATGGAAAGAATGACAAACTAGTATCAGCAGCGCGGTTTATTTGCGATCCTTCCTTCGCGAGGTAAGAAGCAACGTGCAGAAGAAGTACGTACGGCAAACGTGACGGAGGAGCGGTGTTTCTCACGATTTCACCATATCTGTGTTTAACACGCGTAATTCAATCGCCGTTATACTTTTACCGGTGGTTCGCGAGTTTAGGATTAACAACGGCGTCGCGCGTGCGAAACTGCCGGTCTAAAATAAAAATTGTTTACAATTTTCGGCAGTAACAACAGGAGGGATGGCCGCAACGCGTTTCGAAATTGCAACTTTAAATAACGTTTAAAAAAAAATGTGTTTATTGGAATATTTTATTAAGAAATTATGATTAAAAGAAATTATTAATATCTCAAGTACTAACGAAATCTAAAATATAGATTGTTTACAATTCTTCGACGATAATAGATAATAGAAATGGCGAGCGCGACGGTAATATTATTATTATTCCAATAAACCAAGAATTTTAAGATTGCAATTTCAAATAACGTTTCGAAAAAGTGTGCGTTCGGAATATTTCACTTCGAAATTGTAAATATAAAAAAAAATGAACATGTCAAGTATTAATCTAAAATAAAAATTGTTTACAATTTTTCGGTGATAACAATAGAAAAGGCAGCCGCGACGCTTTTCAAAATTGCAATTTTGAATAACATTTAAAACAAGTGCGTTCATCAGAATATTTTATTAAGAAATGTGATTAAAATTGTGATTAAAAAAAGTATTTCAAGTACTGATGAAATCTAAAATAACAATTGTTTACAATTTTTCGACGCAATAGAAAGGACGACTGCGTCTAAAAATTGCAACTTTAAATAAATAACGTTTCGAGAAAGTGCGTTTATTTCGAAATTATAATTAAAAAAATTAATATCTCAAGTATTAACAAAGTCATATTTGTCTGATGCGATATTTGACAGTGTGACAAGAAGAAACATGATAAATAAGTATTAATACTTGCACGGATATACTCAAGGAACTATTAAGACTCGATGTCAATGTGGGTTATCTCGTAAGTAGTTGGTCTTTCTCGAAAGCCTTATCTTAATTTTCGTAAAGTGGATAAGGCTTATCTTAATTTTCATAAAGTGGGCGAGGAAATGTCTAAAAGTAAAATTCTTTACACCTCGAACAACCGATCAACAAACGATCGAAATTTCGATTATTAATCTTAATTAAGATTTTGCATAGTCGAGCATTTTCAGTCAAAAGAAAGATATCAATCTCAGGTCTTTTGAAAGCAAAATTTTTCGAATATCGTTTACGTTTCCTCAATGACTTTCGAATAGTTCTGCTCTCAAAAGTGATGACATTTTCTAATATGAAAGAGAAGATGTAAACGGTGTCAGTGTTCCGATTCCAAGATGTTATTGTAAGCGATCCGAAGGTATCACATCCTTCTATATTATGTTACGCTCTTTACTTTTACATAAAAAAAATTAGAACGCATGCATTAGATTCTACTGTGTCAAATTAATTTTTAATTAATCAATGTAGAATGTTCGAAATCTCCTTCCTTTTTCTATATTTTCGTATCCATGGATTTCTCCACGATAAGAACGAGATAGAATCAATGTAGAAGGAACTCAACTCGCTGACAAATCGTCGATCAAAAGAAAACGTGGATTCTAGAACGCTATTTTTTTTTTGTAACCGTGTAAGAGATGATATTATCCTTATCTCCACGGATCTCGCGTGTCGGAATTAATTGTATCGTGCAGCGCAAATAAGCTATTCGAGCGATCCCTCGTTGATACGCGTGAACGCGGACAAAAAGAATCGGCGATTTGGTACCCCGACGTCCCTGCGCTCGCGATCTAAAACTCCCTACTCCGGCCTCCATTTTGGGTTCCTGGCATTGTTTACCCGATGCAAGCGTGCCCGTCATTACGATCGTGGCGAGCGAGGAGAGGAGGTTGGTACCCACGTATGTACGTATAACACATACGTGGGTTCGTTCGCACAGGAGCGAGTAGCCCAGGAGGTTACCGCGCGGCGATGAAGGAGGAAGAGAAGAACGGAGGGGAGGGGTAAGAGTGGTGGTGGCGGCGGCGGCGCAGAGCACCTGGTGGACGTGATACAGCCCTGACACGTCGTTCTCCACGAGCGTGTCGCAAGCGTGCCACTAGCGCGTGCACCGCGCTAAGGATGAAAACATACGCACACGGGGAGTCGGGGATCCAGGCGCGGATCACACGAACGCGGGACACACCGCAACTCGCATTCGCGCTCCGGGGAAACGCGCTCTTTCCTTTCTTATCGCTCGTTCGCGCTTTCCTCCTCGCTCGCACACATTCACACATCCACACACACATCTACACATACACACACACACACACACGTACAAACGCGCGCACGCACGCACGCCAGGACCGCGGGCGGACTGGTCGGCACTGGCACTACTAGCTCCCGCCATTTCTACGTGACGGTGCCGCGACGTGCCCGTCTCGAACAGCTGCCGACGCGCGACGGCGGCGGCGGCGGCGACGACTCGTCATCCCCCGTGGACGGAACGATCACCGCCGCACAGCACACGCAGAGCACACGCACTCTCGTCTCGCGCCGGATTGCCGCGCTTATTTAAATTCACACTGACCGTTCGTTCGGCGCGCCGGCGAACACCTGCGATGGCACACGCGGCTCCCAATGTCGCCCACGATACGTCGGCGTAGCTCGTGCGTGGAGCCGACGACCCGTTCGCATGCACACGGTGTTTATTTCAGCGCGCGACGCGACGTCACCGATCCGCACCTCCTCACCACCGTCGGCGAAACTGCCAAGATGGCGGCCGCCGTCACGTGACCCGCCGACGTTTTGTGACGTATCGCGGATGTTAAAGGGCCGGCGGGCCGGCCACTCGCGTTTGTTGCATGCCGTCACGTGACCCCGTGCACGTGCACGTCCAATGGGAGAGATGCTTCCCTAAAAATAAGGGCGAGCTGCAGTCAAAATGGCGTGTACGGGGTGAACACGACCGCCTGGCACGTCCGCCCTTTTTAATGTGGGCTTGATACGATGATTCATTATGACAGATTACGATGGAATTTGAAAAGGAATAGAAATCGGCTATTTTTTTCACGAGAATAGTTATACATAATTGACTTTTTCATTCGCGACGTGCGCCGCGAAAGATTCTATATAAATGTACCAAATTTGCAACTTCGATTTTAATGATATTCGCTGACCTAATTAATTGCATCATTTTGATGACGGAGCAAATTTGCAGTATAAATGTGAATACAATTCAGAAATACTCGTTATCAAATAGATTGTACTTTATTGTCTTATTTGAATGAAAATTCTAAATTTGAACAAATTCTTGCAAAAAAATTACTATATGCTCTTAAAAATATATTTACGTTGATATTTATATGATAAATAAAAATTTGCAGCATATATGTAATACAACAGAAAAATACTCTCATCAAATAGATTGCACTTATTTTTCAATATGAATTTCTTGTAAAAAAAAATTACTAAGCTCTCTTAAAAATATTAGCTGTCATGTTTATATTTATACATCAAAAATTCGTTCTTATAAAATATCCCTTTATATTGGTCACTTGGTTTTTCTTTACACATGTTCTCTGGCAATATTAGCAATGATTCTTAAATCAATAAAATAATAGTAATAATAATTCATGTAAATTTCTCAATTACAATGTACATCACTTTTACTATTTACAAAAAATATTCATAAACACTCCTCGACATAATATATACATTCAAGTGGGATTTCACATTCAATACTATCCAATATCGTCCTCGTCATCGTCATTATCGAAGGATAGTATGACTTTTTGCTTCTCCTTTTTCGCCTTTTTTTCACAGGTTTATCCGTGGCAGCTGCGTCGGAATCCGTTTCTGCCGCTTTAGTCTTGCGAAACATGACCTTTTTAGATAGATCAGCTGGGGCATTAATTTCTTCTGCAATTGATAATTAGTATCGAATGACAGATCAGTATCAAAAATTACATGTTACATATTAATTATTATTACACGTATATGATGTGTTTTGATCATGTAATATGAAATATCATATTCAATAGTACATGCGAGTTTAGAATACTGTTTCTGTACCTTCTTCTTTCTGTTGTATAAAGGCGTCTGCTTCTTCCGCTGTTAAATCCCCAGACTTCAATACGACGACAACAGGTTTTTCATCGACCAAGTCTTCCTTTTCATCGTCAGATACTTCTGGTAGGGCTTCCCTCTAATTTTAACAAGTCGAATATATTTTGAGTTCTATTTCTATTTTAAATCTTTCATATTACAAAGTATAAATAAAATAGCATACTGTTAAATCTACCAGCAAGTAGCTTGCAGATATCTTACCTTCGTGTCGACAGTAGGGCCTTCCTTGTATCCAATTTGCTCCTTCAGCTCCCGTAGAAATTTTGGTTCATCTGGCTTGATGTACGATATATTGTGCTTCTTTCGCGACATAATCTTTCTGTTTAACACGACGTTCTCCACAAGACTATTTGAAAAGCGATAACCTGTCATAAACTGTAAACAGAGTTACAGGAGCTTCTGTCGCGTTATGGACGGTTCACACTGCATTCGTTTTATAGAAAATTCACATTGGATACACAACGTTCCGACATGTCCAACAGAAGAATGAGATTTATAGAGGACTAATTAATCATATTTCGGTCTTTTGAAAACGGATCTTTCCTTTTGGTTATCTTCATCACTGGGGTTATGTACGTATGTATAATCTAGAGCAAAAATATTATTTAATTCAACCCTGCGTTTACTTTGAAGCTTACAGCGCTCTTGGAATTATTTTATCCTCGTTTATCAAATGACAAACAAAAACAAATATGATGCTCACGAGCAATAGCGTTAATTCGTCAAATTGAACGTAGGGCAAGTATAGAATATAGATACTGTGATTGCACTTGCTCTCCTCCCCACCGCCAATTCCAACAGCTGACCAATCACTGAAGGGACGATGAGACTCATTTTATAGATAGATTAGGTATATATGTATATAATACATATGTATATATTTATTTGCCGACTTTAATAAAAACATATGTGTGTATGTGTGTGTGTGTGTATCCACGTTTTTATAGTCAGAAAATAAATATATAACAATAATTAAAGGTGAGCCTATTTATTTGTTGACTTTAATAAAAACGTGTGGGTGTACAACACATGCATAATTTTTATTAAAGTTGACAAATAAATAGACTCACCTTTAAATATATTTACACTTTCATTGCATAAGCTAGATGTTACGTTATTGAACGATTCAATAAGAAAAAAGAACGCATTAGCTCTAGAAATTTTGTTTAAACGCTTTAGTGTAGTTTTATGTAGTTTTATAAAATTTGTGCAATTCGACTTGCTACATAATTTTTCTCTAAGCATGTAAAAAAAAGTTATATAAAATCGTGGACAGGAAATTCGAGCTTGGACTGGGTATTATATATATACATAAACCAATTAGTAATGATTCCAATATACATGTATGTGCACATACGCACTGTATACAATATATTCATATATATATATAGGCATTAAAATATACAACTAGTTGCATACTGCATGACAATATGTATATACCTGTACATATACATATATATACATATGTATACACATACACATATTTGACATGTCAAATAATTCACCAATTTTCCTCTGCTTCTTCTTACGTACACATTCCCTTCCTCCTCCTTAACATTCACCTTTCCTTTTTATATAATTATTATAATTCTCATTCTCTACAATTAACAAATAACAAAGGTATGGGACTACGAAAGGCTTTAACTTACACGAAAGAAAATTTCTAACGTAAGTTACTTGTATACATGTATGTATCTATGTATGTATATATATATATAATCTAATATTATGCATTTCCTTAATACATTTTTTTTTATACAGTCAAACCTCCATGATATAGAACAGTACAAAACGATAGGTTTCCCCTTTTACAGCAGTATCACCCTCATCGCTAGCAGCATCTCGCAATGCCGCAGCGATGGAGAGAAATATATGTCCGCATCCGACTGTCTGTGATATTACAATATGTAAATACGTGTATGTTTACATATACATACAGAATATTGAGTAAATCGCGGTACAATCGTCGAATGGATAATTTCCCGTGAAAAAAAAGTCAAGTGAAATAGTGCAAAATGAACTTTCATTATTGATCTCTTAGTCCTCGAGAAGCGATTCGTATAACGGACAATACTTTCATACATTCGAAATCGACTTTCTCAAAAACTATATTATCAATAAAAAAAAAATTTATCGTACAGTCGTTATTCTTTCACGGGATGTCGCTTGACCGATGTGCCACGATTTATTGGAACACACCTAAGCCAGTTTAGTCATTATTGCCAGAATGAAAAGTCTTACATATGTATATATACTCACACACGTATACTGCAGTATATATATATGTATGTATATATATTTATATATTTATAAATACACGAGGCGGCTACCCCATTATTTAATCTATATCATAGTCCACTCTCGTGTTCAGAAAGGCATATCAACTTGAGCAGATACATCGTAATTTGTGTCTGTTTGGAAGATTGACGTTTATGCAAAATGCACACGCTTCTGCATATAAAACTCTCTATGTTATGAAACTGTCCTTACGCACAGTTTTGCGCTGAACTCAAAAGCCGAAGGTAATCTATCAACTCGTGTCGTGCACAACAATCGACATCCTTATTCTCTTTTTTTTTTTGTACAAACTCGTTCTAAAAATAAGTGCGATCTTTTTCGCTCGAGGCGCATCGTGTGTTTATATGTAAACTATTTTAAAAAACATGCGTCACGTACACACAAGCAAGTAGCTTTCCCGTGTTTTCGTTTGTAGTATTCGTAGACTAGGTGAACGGATTAATATGGGGCAGCCATTGTGAGTATATATCCATTTTGTATTTATAAACTCTTTCTCTTCTCTTTGCATAACATGGCGCTGCCGTAGACTTCGGATTCTCAGAATTACATAGTGGGCGGGTCAGTGGGCACAATCTCGTCTGTATAAAACATTTAGAACACTGTAACACCCAGATGTTTTGCAAAATGTACCGTTGGTTAATATTTGATTAGTAAGCCGTCCATTCAGGAAATACCTATACCGCTTGTTCCGTATTATACTCGTTTGCAATATCGGCACGTGAAATAATGTCAAAATTATCCCTTTTTCAAAATGACAAAAAGATCCTCCCTGTATTTAAATCTATTTTCTCAGTATTATAATTTTGATCGGTATTCTACTAGTTACAAATCATTCGTTCTCAATTATATATATATATATATAAGGTATCCAAAATATTTACAACTTTGCTAGCAGGCCTTTTACGCATCCCGCTGTTTTTCATAATAAAAACAAATCTCCCAACGCGATAAAGGAGACTCTTCCTTCAAGCCTAATTCCTTTGTTGCATTCATCAACCATATTTCAACGTTCTCAACTAATCTGGGCTATAACTGGCACCAGGGACAGAACTATGCGGAGACTCAATCACTTTCTGGACCGCCTTCCTTTTCACCCTCGCCGTCACCTTCCTCCCGCGTCATGCCCTCGATTGGCGCTGGAGCATCCTCTGCGTTCGTGACGTTGTTCGTTGGCAGTTGACCGGAGTCAGGCGGCGCCGATGGCGGGCCGTTTTGCGCGGCGCCTTGCGGGAATCCGGTTTCAGCCGATACTAAATGCGACGGCATGTGCGGCGAGGCCGTTTGCGACTTTCTGCTTTTCTCACCTTTCCTCCATAATGTAATCTCCTGAACAAAATACGAAGAGCAATGAATATACAAGGAAGGGTGCATATAAAATAATATTCTAATTTGGAACATACGAAAAAGAAATATAATTGTAAATTTAGGTAAAATGAACATACAAGGAAGAGTGCACATAAAATAATATTCACATTTTGAACGTACGAAAAAGAAATATAATTTTAAATTTAGGTAAAATGAAGATGCAAGGAAGAAGTCCATATAAAATAATACTCTCATTTTGAACGTACGAAAGAGAAATGTGCTTTCAAAAAGTCTAGAAAAAGATATGATATGCAAATAATTCACCTGTTGCTTAAAGTATCGTCGATCTTCTTCATCCATGAGAACCAAATTCAGATAGTATCTAACGCTAAACTTCTTATTAATATCGCGCATCGTAGGCGCCAGATCGTACCCAGCCAAAAACACTCTTATGGGAATGGACTCCCCTCGAACGGGTGCGCCATCCATGATCTCGTACTTCGCTATGGTTTCGTTCTCGGTAAACGTATGGGGACCTGCAAACATGTATTCTAATTATTGCCATAGTACCACGAATACCGCAGTGGACAAGCTCCTGGGAAACCAAAACTTGCGTTCCAATTTTGCAAAAAAAAAAAAAAAAAAAACCATGCAATGTTGCATGCGTACAAAACTGCCGAAATTATAGTTAATTACTGTCACTACTTATGCAATAAATATAAATTATCTATAACGTACCAGAGCCTGTAGTTTCCCGTTTGATGATTGCTATCTCCATATGTTTTATTTTTATTCTAACCAAAAGAAAGTATATTTTGCCAACAATTACATCCTTCAAATGATATCTGAAAAGACAGACGGTTATTATATGTTTAGGAAATCCAATCATCGGAAGAGCCCAAATGTGACTTACTTGCTTTTATTATATTCAAATTCGATATGCAAACAGTCTTCAATTCCAACTTCCATTTTAATTGGATTATTCATGTCTGGATAGGAACTAAGAGTGTGCACAACTAATTCGAGTTCTTTAATAATGTCACTAATTCTTCGTACAATTGTCACTTTCAAGAAATATCTTAGTCGTACGTTGGAGCCGGTATAACTCTCAAATGGTTTCTCGACATTTGGGAATTCAAATGTATACACCGTATTGTGTGTTAGTTCCCCTGGCCTTGCCAGTTCTTTTACCAGATTTGTAAACTCATGATGGGTACCTCTGTCATAATACAGCTCAATTTGTCCAATAAATTCTACCTTGACACCATGATGCTCTAATTTTCCAGCTTTTCGCAAGCTGATATTGATCTGCAAGCATTGATTTAGTGTGACAAATTTTATACCACAAGAAACATATGTGATACAACATTACAAATATTAAGAGGAATATCTTACAAGTTTAATTAATACAGAAATCAAAGAGTTAGTGCTACAAGATAAATCGCATCTAACGACATGTATCACAGATATTTCTCTGTAGTTATGTAATAAATTAATGGCAAATTAATCGGTAAAAACAAATACACTGTAACTCTGTCATCTTATTGTAGAAATTGACAACCATGTTTTAATCATCATAAAATGGCATATGATATTTTAAACAACTGATAATTTCCTAGATATATTATATTACAAGCGAAAAAAAATCTATGCATGCAACGGAAATACAGTATTCGTTCGAGTTTTACTGGGCAAGCAAGCCTGGTGCATTCAATATGTTGCATGCAAGCGTGTAAACGTTTCGGGCCTATCGAACCACGTTAGCCGACCGACGATTGACGACTCTCGGGGTCGACGTTCCGGGGAGCAGATCTCACCTTGCCGGACACGGTCTCGCCGTCGTAGTAGAGCAGGTGCCGTTCCTTCTTGCCATCCTCGGACTTGATGTCCGCGGTCTTTCGCGTCTCGGCGCCGTCCAACGTGATCTCTATGTCGGCGGACTGACCGAAACCGAAGAAGCTCTGCGTGGGAAGAATTCACGAAAGCGTTAGAAAGAAAAACAAACCCGTGTATCACTGGAGGGGGAGGGGAAGGGGGGAGGTAAGGATGGAGGACGACGGGGATTTTCCCGGCGCCGGATCCGGGAGTCTCGGGTTACGGTAGGCCGGAGGCCTGGTGGCACCCGGTGGGAGGCGAACACACGCACCATTTTCTAGGATAAGGGACCAGTCTTCGTTGGAACGGTGAGATAACCCCCCGGCGCAACGCCGCAGTCACGTCCTGGACAGGATCGGCCGTATCACGGATCAATGGACAATTCTCCAGGGCAACATTTTCCTGCGTGTGCACGAGAGACCGAGAAAAGTTGGGTTATTTTTTCACTCGTTCCTCCCGAAAGTCACAAGTAGCCAATATGGCCGCGCGCACGCGCCCCCTTCCCCCCCTTCGCCCCCTCGCCCCTCTCCGCGCACCGCCTGTGTGCGCTGTCAAAACTCGCCGGTGGCGCGCGCGCGGCGAGATCTATCGGCGTTTACATATCGCATCAGAAGAGAGGAATGGAATGAGGATACCGGATATCGATGAGATATGAGCAGATTATGTGAGGAACTTTGCTGCACTACAGTAGCCTGGACTGCACTAAATATACCGACGAGATAAGGGCTCGTTGATAAGGGCTCAGGCACGGTGAGAGAATTGAGAGGAATAAGGAATTGAATATGTGAAATTAGGAAAGAAATCAGAGTAGGAATCGAAAAATATATCACATTATACCTTTGACTTTTTCCTACTTTACGTTTTTCTTTTATTTGAGTCCTGAAAACTTTTCATCTTGCTTCTGTCAAATTCTAAATATATATATTTTTTATTTTATTTTAAGTAGACGAGTGCTGCAGTTATACTTTCAAAATAACAGCTGACCTTAAAATTTAATCAATTAATTGTTTTTATATATTTGAAAATCCCTTTCCAGAATTAAAGCATAAATAATAACGAAATGCGGATGAAACAATTTCATATTTAAAAAATGAAAAAAATTTTCGAAAATATTACAGTTTTATTATCGACTTCTATATAGCGTTGACTCGTGAAATTTGCTTGGAAGAGCTTTACCTTGAGGTTCGATTGGTCCTCAGTTAACTTCCTTAATTAAAACTTATATCAGTTTTTCTATTACTATTATGCATTGAAATTAAGAATTGCAAATTAAAGATTAGCCCAATTAGCAGTAAACAATGTTATTTAAATATTTTTCAAATATTTATTTATATATTATTATATTAAATAAATGTTTAAAAAAAACATTTTAAAAAATATTGTCTGCTGATTGGGACAATTTGATTAATTATACATATAATTTTAATTTTAATTAATCTGTATACATACTTGCGCGAATTCGAATTGGTAAGATCAATCTTCGTTTTTATCGATCAGGATCGATGCGCTCGTCAGATGGCGTCTCTTTCCGCGATAGATTCGTGTCCACATGGGCTCTCAAAGTCGCGATAACGGATGGTCGGGTCAGGTGGGGAAGGGAAGAGCGACAGAGAGGACGGGCTGGTGTCGTTAGAGATACGGGGGTTGATTTCGTTTTCTACGCGGCCTGGCCTGATACGTGTGCTCACGCGATTCGGGAAGTAAAGCGAGTGGCATTCATGTATTTATGACTGCACGCCGCCACGCCGTCGTACGCAGACCTTGTGCCGCGCGCACTTCGTCGCACGATCGCGCACGGGTGGCTACGTCCGAGAGTTTGGTCCCGACGCGCCGCGGACGCTCGTCGTGCACTCGTCGTCCCGCCGCGACGCTGCGATGCAGAACGTTATGACGGCAGACGTCGCACGTTGTTACTCCTCGCGGACGCGTGTCATTGCACCGTGATGTAAGTATTTTCAATTTATAGCCTTACTGTACGTATAACTTACATCTCCCGAGAGGAGGAGAAAGAGAGACTTGACGTTTGTCGTCTCCGCGGGTACTCCACGTTCTCATCTTGGATAAATCAAATGATTAAACAAATTACGGACTCCTGAAAACAAACGGTACGGTCTCTTAAAAAAAACAGTATTACGCAGGAGTTATACGGAGTCGGCGTAAACAGTGCGCAAATTCATATGGGATTTTAAACCAGTGATACAATTGCGCTTAACAATACACGATAACTTTACAAACTCTGTTTCGGCTCCGTTTGAGCCAGCGTGACAAACTCTCAATGTTCATCTTGGACAAATGTGGCTGTCTAATTTTCACTTTGATGTTATCATTGATAAGTAAGATTGTGGACGTTTATCTTAGCATTAAGTGATCTTTCCTCACATTGAGCAAATAAAGCTCGGGCTCCATTCAGCCATCAAAAATCGTTTCGAATGCTTGGTTGATATCATTTGCAACGTCAGTTTTCATCGTTTTCTTTTTTTTTCCAGGCATGTGATTGCAGATTTTTGTGTGTACAAAGGTGGAGGTGGTTACCCTTTATGTCTTATAAGGAATACAGTAGTTCAGTGAACAGCTGTTTCAACAATGGATTACGATTACATGCCCTTTCACAGGGAGAAAGACTTTCACAATAGATGTTGCGGTGGAAAGCTCTGGTGTATTAAGGCAAGGAATCTTACGATTTTTTATGTTTCTTTGAGGATGATCTTGATTAACTTGATTAACAATTTATCAAGCAACACTTGCACTGTTCTATTAACACAGATTGAGGAACTAATCTTTTTTGGCTGGATATTATAACAATAAAAAATATTACACGTCAACGTGTCGGCTTGCATAGGCACTATTTAGTTATTTATAATTTATTTATGGCAGCCTTAATTTCTTGAAGTTAAACCAATCTTTTATTTTGTAATACATCGAAAGATTAGATTAGGAACGATGAATTATATATGATTATATTACATATGATTAATTAGAAATTTTGCTAAACAATTGCCGGTTGAATTGATCATCAATTAAGTTAATTGAAGTTTGGCAAGGTCGTTCTAAAAGTTACACTGTCGTTTCAATATATAACATTAATGTAACTATGTTTATATATTTACAGGATATATGTGGCATCATATGCGCAGTATTAACATGGCTACTGATAATCTATGCAGAGTTCGTAGTGATGGCAGTGATTCTTATTCCGACGATAAATACATTATATTCCAGTTTAAATATGGCCATTTTCCAATCTCTAGCATTCCTGGCCTTTGCTTCGCACCTAAGAACCATGTTTACAGATCCGGTAATTGAGATAACGCAATCTTGTTTATTGCTACAGATTTAGCGTGTATTACGTAACATGAGTTAAGCCTTTTTTTTTTAATTTTTCATTTTCAGGGTGCAGTACCGAAAGGTAATGCAACGAAAGAGATGATACAACAAATGGGATTTAGAGATGGACAGGTTATTTTTAAGTGTCCAAAATGTTGTTCTATTAAGCCTGATAGAGCTCATCATTGCTCCGTTTGCCAAAGGTGATTAGAATCGAAAAATTGCGTTTGTAGAATAAAATTTATTCGCTTTAGCGTATTTACAAGCCGAAAAGGGGACTCGGTTTACAATAATTGCTTATCATTCATCTATCCATACCTTCTACATAAATCACTACTTACTTATTGCTACTTATTCCCCATTTATCTATCTTTCCTTATATCTATTTATTTCTGCCACCTATATATACTGTCTCCTGTTGATTTTGTTTTTTTGCACTCTCTTTTATTCTTACTCTATGCGTTTAAAGCTAATTAATCTACAGACTATCACAGCTCGGCATTTAGACGAGCTTGCGTTTGTAATACATATCGAGCCAATGTACTGATTACACTGTGCTGCAATTGCAGATGCATCAGGAAAATGGATCACCATTGTCCATGGGTTAACAATTGCGTAGGAGAGAATAATCAAAAATACTTCGTACTTTTTACTGTGAGTAAAATTTTATAAAGCACATGCATATAGTTTCCTTCTAGGTTCTTTACAAAGAATGATCAAATTGATGCATTTCAAATGCATCGAAATATTTTGTATAATAACATGGACCCATTTCTCTTTTGCTTTTATTTCAGTTTTATATAGCGGGCATATCACTGCAATCCCTGTTTCTGTGTATACAACAATTTACCACGTGCGTCAGGCAAGAATGGAGAGAATGCTCCACATTCAATCCACCGGCGACGGTGGTGTTATTGTTATTTCTGGCATTCGAGGCACTATTATTTGCCATTTTTACTGCTGTGATGTTAGGCACGCAACTGCAAGCTATTTGGAATGACGAGACTGTATGTATATAAAATAATCGTTATTTTTCACGCGTTAAGAGGTTGCGATTTGTACTTATCGAAATGTATTACCTCTTACAGGGTATAGAACAACTTAAAAAGGAGGAAGCTAGATGGGTTCGCAATAGCAAATGGAAATCCATTCAAGCGGTTTTCGGAAGATTTTCGATAGCTTGGTTTTCCCCCTTTACCTCGCCTCCTAACGCAAAAACGAAATTAGATTCTTATCTATATTCTGTTTGAATTATATTTTGATACGTATAACCATGACTTATACATATAGAGGAATATTTAAGAGATATATATATTAAGTACTAAATGATGTTCGATTAGAATACAGGCTGATTCTTGAAATTGAGACGGACTACAACTCTTCTTTAAAAGAAGAAAAATAGATACAAGAGAATTTTGCTTAATTTCTAGGATTATTCTATACACATGTAAGGAAAGATTTCTGTTCAGTCTGCGATATTGAAAATTTTGTACATACAATCTCGCGTAATCAATTTTTTTATTTATATATCAATTTTCAGATCTTTGTTTATGAAAAAAAAATATATATTTTTTGTGATAGTAAAAGTATTGAAAGTTAATGTTTTGCGCAATATTTAATATAATAGTAATTGACTGTTTACATTTTTTGTAAAGATTTTATTTATTATTATCGGTTTATTTCATATATATTTATCAACGAATTTCGTACATATATATTACCGTTTATAAATTTGGAAATACTTGCAATTTTCTCGCATCATAGGAAAAGTTAAACTAGAAAAGACTTTTAAAAATTTGAAAAAATTTATAAATCGAGAACATTATAACGCCAACAAAAATTTTGTCTCTTGAAAACTCTTAAATTTCGAAATTAAAAAGCATTTCGTAAAAATAAGTTTTTATACAAGAAATTTGATATTGCGAAAATCGCATCAATTTTTTTAAAAACTATTTTAAAACTTAGAATGTCTTTCAAACTAACTTTTCGTAAATTCTTGTCTAATGATGTTTTATTAAGAGTTATAACGCTTCAAAATAAAACAAAAATATTGAAAAGAAAATATAAATTTTTTTAATTTTATGTAAATTACGAAGAAAATATAGAAACATAATTACAAAACAAATTTACAGCTTTTTCTTTAAAAAGATTTAGATTTTTGAAAACTTCTTTACGATTTTTCTTCACTGAGATTTTATGTGACCTATGAAAAATCATAAATGTACCCATCATAAGTGTTCCCGAATTTATGAACGGTAGTGTATATAATTTGTATAATATATATAAAACAATTCTTGCAATTATAAGATATAAGAGGTAAGTGAGAACGAATATATTATATATACAGGGTACATTTTTGTGATAACACTTGTGTGCAGATAGAGCGAATTAAATTGAATTAAAAAGTCCTGTATTTTGCGATTCTCAATAGTTAACGAAATCAATTTATAAGAGATGTTCCACTGTTTATGATTTCTAGGCGAGTGATATGGCAATGGAGATCTAAAAAAAATGTACGAACAACACATTGTTTACAAAACACTCCCTCCAAGTCTTGCAGCGTATTTGCGATCGTAAACGAAGCGCCGTCTCTTGTCGCGCGGATTCGCAGATCTTTATAAATTAATTTCTCGTTAACTGTTATGAAAATTGTAAAACGGCACAGGAATTTTCGTTTTAATTTAATCCGCTCTATTTGTACATGAACGTTGTCACGAAAATGACCTGTATAATATAAATAATATATATATATTATTTATACATAATATATAATACGTATATACACATAAATATGTATATATATATATGTAAATGTATATTTACATCTTTTTTTGTGAATTTGTAATTTTATACTACTATCCAAATATTGTACGAATTTTTTGCTATGATAGCATTAGGAAAGTACTTAAAAAGTGAGTCGAAAACAGGATCGAATTTACCTTTTCTTCATTTCTAGAAACAATAGTATTGGAGTGCTGTATACATTTTGATTTTAAATATACAGGATTCCATTGTATTTAAAAGAAAAATTTTGTTACATTTATGTAGCGTTTTTTTTAATTTTTTCGTGTTATGTATATATTGTTATATTTTGCAAACGTAAAAAAATGTCGCTTTGGAATATGCTTTTGTACACGACATAGTTTATTTAAATTTATAGAATTGCAAAATGTATTATTATTTTGCTTCTATCGATTTTTTAAAATACGGTTTGTCGATAAGCCCTAAATTTGCATCCTTAGATAAAAACGGCTCTGGCAACTATATTGTAATACCTTATCCAAAGAACCGTAACATTTTTCTAAAATGTACTTTAATGATTATCTTGATAAAAGAAAACTATAATCCCTATAAATACAATAATTGTATATGATATCGAATAGAAATGGTTCTTTGACATTTTCATTTTCTACTTCGAGACTGGACTATATTTTATATTTATATAAACACATGAAAATTTAAGAGTGCCATGAATACACATACAAAAGAGGTAACGTTGCAAAATTTTTCTTATCGTTTATCATGCATATCGTAGAAAAGATTTTGTGTCGCAAAATTTCGCTTTTCAAATACATCGAATTACAAAACGTATTTGTAAGAAACAATAAAGATTGATCTTCAGGGATGAATTGAAAAAAAAGCTTGATAATTTCATCCTTTGTCTGAATCTCTATTCAAGTAAGAAAAATAATAATATGAATGACATAAAAAAGAATTTGAATAAAATAATATAATGATTATTATATGTATTTCCGATCCCTTTATACTCTCAACGTGATGTTTTTGCTAGTAAATGCGAAATACAAAAAGAATTTGTCTTGGCATTTATGACGAATTAAAGCGTGAATCTCATGTTTTTTAAATTCGAGTTTTTCCAGAGATAATTAATTCGGGCGCCTCGCACCGTACATCTACGCAGTTTCATCCGAAGCTCACGTGAGCCACGTCGGCCGACGATATTCCCTTGTTAGTCGTGCACTCGCAAGCAAGATTTCCCTGCTTGACTTGGAAACGAGCGATCAGTCGCGCGGCGGTACCACTGGCTACTATTAGGAAAAGGATCGCTGATAATTAGCATTTTAATTTGCACAGCAGTGATTTCTCCATATCGCTTTCTATCCTCGCTCTCTACGAAAGGTCTGGGTAAATATATTTTATATCATATATATATATATAAGAAATTAAATCTCTCGATCCGGACAACGGCCGCGTAAGCGATACGAAATGCATAAAGCGCGAGTCCAGAATCACAGCTCCATAAATTTATCTGTCCGCGGACAACTTTACTTTTGCAAAAGTAAAAGTTTGCATAAGTAATGACTAATTACATTATTAATCTTTTATGATTGAATATGTGTCGCAATACTCTCGATCCAATTATATTATTTCAAATTCTGATGGCAAAAATATCAATATATTATAATGATTAATATTAAAGTATATAATAATTAAAAAATATTAATATTTAAATATTTGAAAATATTCGTATACATAATATTTTTAATAATGTATTTAAATTTATATATTTATTATATTATTAATAATAATAGTTAAATTTATTTTCTTAAGTTTTCAATGAAACTGTTTTAATCGTTTTTATTTCTATTACTATCATCGATATGTGACATTTTAACATATTATATTATATATCAATATATTGTATATAAAAAAATTATATGTTTAAATATTAATAAGTTATGCTACTAATACACTAATTATTAACAGGATATTAATAATAATTTATTAAATATAATTATTATTAATAATAATAATTTATTAAATATAATTATAATATAACATATAAATAACATATTAATCGTCAGTTGGTACATCCATTTTTCAAGTTTCCAAATATGTTTAAATCGCTTTTGTCTCTGTTTTTATTATCGAAGCAATTATGGTCTTTATACTTCACACTAGACCGCGTCAGAAAGCCGTCTATCGTATCTTCTTTTTAACTGGATCTATATTTGTTTTATAGCCTTTTTTGCCTCTCCATTATATTCTAATGAAAAGCGAATTAAACGGAACTTTCTTTCCCCCGACAATTTTTTTTTTTTTTTTCATGACAAGAACAGAAATGTTTCTTGTTGGTCGTGATGATATCTCTTGTATATTAAAGTCGCATAGTTACATTCAATTATATCTTCGATCCCGCGGCATCGTAATCTGAATCCGGCGGTGGTACAAAGAGGCGCTGCAGAAGTAAAGTGTGCCTAAAAAATGCGATATATATCAAGCAGAAAAAAGGCGATTTATCCGCTCGACGGAGATATGCGTGTCCATCAGATCCGCGAAGCGCGCGTTGCTCTCCAATTGGCCAGCCGCCAATAGCGCGGTAAAAAAACGAATGCGCGCGCGCTCGCGGTCGGGCCCCGTTTTCCACTTTCATCGACTTCCGTTTTTGCGGACGAGGGGATACGCGATACGGCGCGGCGACGGCGGCGGCGGCGGCGGCGGCGGCGGTGGTTTCCATCTCGACGGACGCGCGGGCACGACAAGGCCGGGAGCCAGGCGGTCGACGATCGAAATCCGCATCTGTCACGCGCGCCACTGCCACCATCGTTGACGCTCGCTGTCGTTCGCTGGCTTTCACTTTTCCGCGGCGATATACCACGGTGAGTCTTTTTCAGAAGCTCCTCATGCGTGCGATTTCCCAGAAATACTGTTTTGTTCAAGTCTAATTTAGACGACTCGTAATTCGGAACTTGGGACAGAATCCCAAGTTTGTAAGTCCCAAATTCTCGTGCATTTTGATATACATACATGTACATACATATATCATATGTATGGTATGTATGTGCAAATATGTATTGTGGTTTTTATATTTGTACATACGTACACATATGCATACCCCTATTTTTAACTATACTTTCCTACACGGAATTTTATTTTAAAATTTACCTCGAAAATCATGTTAATCGTAGGATAATATATAGTATTTCGACGAATTTTATGTAATTTTCACTATATTTTTTACTATATACTATAACAAATTTATTGTAGTGCAAAGTAAAATTTGTGAAATACTATGTTGTCCTACGATTAATATGATTTTTAGGATAAATTTTAAAAGGAAATTCTCTCTCTGTAATTCAAATTGTATAATTAATTTTAAATATAAATGTATGATTATATAATATCAAACTTGTACAATATATATGCTATGCAATTTGCAAAATTTATAGATAATAATATAAAAAATATTCTACAAAAAATGGAGAGAGAGATATGATATGATATGATATCGCTATTATGCGCTCCAGGATAAATCCTCTTAAGCGCAGAGGAAGAAAGAGAGAGAGAGAGAGAGAGAGGGAGGGGAGGGAGAAAGCTTTACTTTAAATGTATATATGCATATGTGTATGTATGTATATGTATATAATGTGTATATGCATACTACATTGTTATCATTGATACCACTTGGCTAACTGTTTTTCCACACTTTTCTATAAATGTTATGAAATTTTCAGTATATCATGCGGGTAATGACTGTATTATTGTTTTGGAAAACAGTTACTTCCAGCATAGATCCAATTTTCTAAGAACTTATGTTCAAAACGATAATCCATCAAGTTGACTATCCCGCGCGTATTTCATTTCAATATACACTTCAATCCTACAATACCACTCTAATCTCGAGTGATTTATGTGCTTCAGCTCATGCTTCGTGCCGTTTTTAATGCATTTCTTGAAATATTTGCACAGTGTTTTACGATTTTATATTAGGCAATAGCGAAAGAGTGTTTCTGATGTTCTTACAAATCATATAAAAAAGTTGTAATTTTAAAGCGATATTAGAATAATCGCCCACGTCTTTTTGTGTAATAAACCATGGATGACTTTGATCAAACTTTGCCGACTAACTTAATCAGCGATTCATTCAATCGACAGAAGTGTTTAACAATGTGTTAGAATTTGTTAAAATTTGTAATTAATAATTTGTTGTTTCCAATTTAATAATCTTCAATCTTTAATAACACAAAATTAGGAATTTTATCCATGTTAACTATTAATTGTAATTGTAGAGATATAATTGCATAGATAGAAATTAATTATCGATTACGTTAATCGAAGTTATATCGAAGTTATCATAGATATATTCTAATACATATTTCGTACATACATGTGTATTTTAGATTTTTTAAATATTTTTTGTATATTAGGGTATATATAAAATTATAATGAACAGAATTCTGTTACGAGAATTATGAATCATCCAAAGTGAAATTTTAGGTGTGTTTAGCACTCGAATGGAATTAATTTTACCGACAATAAGCTTATCGACGATGCTTGTTTTGTATTAAGAAGTTTTTATTTATTGTTTGTTTTATTGTTTTATTATTATTTTTTAATTGTTAAACATCGAGATTGGCTAAAGAGAATGGCGAGCCGCTCCAAATAACCGACGAAACTGGTTTTTCCGACTGAGTTTCCGCGAAAGGCGCATTCTTTTTTATTTATTGAAGTAGGATGTAGTTGTTATCTTGAACAAAAATATTTTTTTTGTATAGAGTTCAGAGAATGAAAGGACGGTTTACTATCTCTAAGTCACAAAGTGCGATTGACCCGACGTACATTCTTTTCGTTTAGACGTTTAATTCGCGAGATGGTTCGACGAACCGCGGCGGCGTGCGCGCTTCGTTTCGTCACGCCTTGCTTAAACACTTTCGCTTTCGTGCTCCGCGGATCATCTCGTGATTCCTAATTGGACACTGTGTAATCGCCGTTTTACGGCTATTTACTTACCGATGGCTTATCTCGCGAAGCATATATCTATGATCTGATGCGAGTAGCGCGGTACAAATAGCTATAAATATTAAATTCTTACCCGACGCGGGAATGCGAGAACGATTGAGATTCGACGACTCTCCTGCGTGGAATAATAGTTCTCATCTCGTACACGAAGGAAAGCACAGCTTTTCTCTCTCGTGATCTGCGTTTCAATATCATTAATGTAATTAAAATATATAACTACACATACTATTAAGATACAGAATTACAACGTATAATTAAACGTTTATAAAAAATACGGATTTCACGTCGATTGAAGAGTACGTGACGATTTGATGTAATCGCTTTTCAGCGTTTAACTCGGACGCAATTCGCCGTGAAGAGAGATTAAGAGAGACACTTTAATATTTTCCCGGATGTTCCTTCAGACATTTTTTTTTTACATTTTTGTATTATTGCTTTCGCGTGTTTGGAACGATTACCTAGAACAATAACAGTCGGCCGCGCAACTGCGAAAGGCATTACATTTCGTTAACGGCCTGTTTCGCAATAGGTGAACGGTTAAGGTACGTGCACATACGTAACGGGGAATGGAGAGCGACCGTAAAAATGCGATTTTAAAGCGGGCGTACTCTAGATATCCACGTTCAAAATGACGCACATCGCGATCAACATTAATAAGAGTGCTCCAAAAACCGTTAAATGATTTTCTTCGTAACGATAGATTTCCTGATCAACTTGGAATCGGTTTTTCCTCAGAATATCGAAGAAAGATCGTCGTTCATTGCACCATTTTATCTTATTTACATATATCTTCATAATCAAGTTTCAGGATTAAAGTAATTCCATCAAAGAAAGTTCCGTCTATAAGATTAACCGAAGAATTTAACATAGTTATCTGTTTAGTATAAAGTAGTATAGTATCCTGAAGTTTAGTTCGCAGAAAGCTATTCTTTCTCACAATCGTTCATAAGTCGAAAATTACTGATACCTTGACATTTTCGCTAAGGAAAGACTCGGCTCCAAATTAGCTAAAGACTATTATGAAAAGAATAACTGGTTTTAAAAATATCCGTATGATTACATCATACAAACTGTTACACTTTATTCATATGTTTACATTTTAATGTTTATAAATAAATTATGAAAATAGAATAAGTCAAATTTTTTAAATCTTATTGTTAAAAGATTTAGTTAATCTGTCGCTCTCTTATTTTATTTTATTTTTTTTCTTGTCTATTTTATATCTTTCTTTTTCTTATATACTTTCTTACTTTGTATCATGTTTTATTATTATCTTATTATTTCGTTTACGACGCTATGCTATAATACTGTAATGTTTTTAGCGCTTGAGAAGATACTATATAGAGCACTCAATAAGTAGTGACATTTCTCTCCCCTCTCTCTTTCTCTCTTTCCGCTTTTAATAGATTTGTTATTCATTATTTTAACTAACTATCATCTCGTATTTAGATTTTGTTTTTAATATAACAAGGCCTTTTATTATATAAAATCACGTACACATGTATATATTTATTATACAGGATGTATCGTTGGTATATTATACACAGGATGCATTTTAGTCTAGATTTATCTCATGCGAATCGAGGTGATGCACACGTTCCGCACATAGCATTAAATTATATCATTCCACGTATTCATAGTCATTACTCATTAGCACCAAGCGCAAGTGCGCGTATGAATGAACAAGTACAATTTTTTTTATAGCTAATAAATTGTAATTATAAACACATTTGTCACGTGGCATAGCGTGCGATTAATTTGCGGAGACCGGATTTCGCTTTCCCTGTTTCATCAAACAGTCGAGAGAGTTACATTGACAATCGTCATTTAAACACTATTTGTCATTTTAGTATTCTTGATTGCGCGAGAGATATCATCAGAGAAATGGAACGGAAAGTGATAATGATATGGAACGGCCGAAACATTTTATTGGTACGTATAATTGTTTACTATTAACTGAAAATTATCATCTGGTATCACGTCAAGTTATGTTCAATGATCGCAAAACGATTCATTGTACGTGTAAATAGTTAAACTGTTATAAAAGTAGAAATAAATCGCTACAGCTATCAATTATGCTGTTGGATTATCTTTATTTCAAGAAACTTTAGAGTTGTGCTGTAATTAAAATATCTTCATGCAGTTTTTAGTTGAATCGAATTATCGCCAACTTAACATATTTTCATATTCTGAACAAATACTTATTACGAGCGATCCCTGCAATCAATCCTTTTTTTTATTATAGTATTATTTTTTATTGCTAATTTATTTCGTTAAATTAAACCTTTGATTTTTCAATCAATTTTCAATTTCGGAGTTTCGACATGTTTGTAATTTTACAGTCTGTATTTCTATTAATTTCTTTTAATTTACGCGGAAAGAACGATTTTGCCGGATACAGATCTGAAATAATTTTTGTTCAGCAATCAAAATAATTTTGAAATGTCAAACCGATTGCTAGAATATCAAAATATTTTATAGCAATGCTTATCATTTTTAACTTTGCAATAAAATTATTTTGATTGTTTCAACAAAAATTATTTTCAGATCTGTATTCAGCAAAATTTTTAGACCTTCCAACAAAATCGTTCTTTCCGTGATCTTTACAAGCAATTGTCTTTCGTGTTCCAAGTTGGTAGGAATTGATGAAGATAGCATTATTACAGGTCTTTTGCTTTTTTGTCACGTTAATTATCCTCACATCGGCATACGATCCAGAGGACAAGTCCCTGAAGGATATTCTCTTGCCGGAGGGTCAGTTCGAGGCGTTTTATTTGAAAGGCACGCAAGACGAGGAGCAAAACGCCGTGAGACCGCCCCATCTTCACGGATCCTTCCATCAATATCGAAATCCCGCGCTGGTTGACGCGCCCAACAGCGCGGCGTATGGATTTCGTTTCGACGGGAAACGCCGTTTCAACTTCAGTTGAAGTATCGTGAATAATTAATAAAATCAAAACGAAGGAACATTGAATATGCCAGAAGCATTACCGACGCTTTCATCACGAATTGCGGTTATCGTTGAAATATGGAGAGCAGGAATGCGTGGATGTCTGGCAGTTAGCGGTTAAAGCGATTTGCATCATTTTGTTTAGTCAAGCGTACAAACTGAAAGTGTTTATGCATAAGAAGATTTCACATGTATCATTTTCTTTAAATAAAAACCGCGAATTTACAATTATTTCAAATTTAACAACAATTATTTATATAGTTGACGTTTCTTTTCAAACAGATATTTTGATTTATGAAAAAATAAAATATACATTTCGGATCATCTGTGTTTTTCAATTAAATCCCATATCCCGTATTAATTTTGTTAAAAAGCTGAATGTAAACTGCATTCAAGCAACGCTAACAAAATACGGATGAATCAACTCAGTCGCAATGATATGATTAATGGTCGACGCATTCACTGAATTAAATTACGAGATCTACCTCACGTCGGCAAAGGTGTAAATTGATTGAATTGATCAAGCTGATAAATTTCCCATCATAAATCATTTTAGATCAGATAATAATTACTGGTTGGAATTTCCTTAATTTTAAATGAATTCTAGACGCGCGTAAAAAAGGATATCCAAATAATTTGTCAGCCATATTCAAAACTCAATAATACGTAATCGGATAATGTTCTGAATTTATTAAATTATTTTATAAATTCTTTAAATATATTGCATAAGAGAATAATTAAAATAATGTCCGAATAATTAGTGATCGAGGATTAAAGAGTTTTTCAAAGGCCTTAGAAAAATCGATAGTATTTAATATCATTTAGATCTTTTTTTAATGAAATATAAAATTCCAAAAATCCTAAAAATATATTGAAAATTAGAAAATAATAAAATGATGACATTCATCGAATTTGTTACAAAGAAATCGATTTTTAATTGATAAACCATTTTAATTCAAATTCAAGTATTCTGTGATTTTGAGACACCGTATATATGTATAATATATATAAATATGCAATATATATGTGAACTATATACAAGTGAGAAAGTATGTACTAATTTTATCTAGAAGTGCTGATCTTATCAGGAGAGGAATCATTATAAAAATTTATGTAAGACATAGTTACTTGATTATACGAGCGAGTAAGACCGCTTGTACGTGCTGCTCTTGGTACAAGACTGGTTTATCATATCCGAAGGAACTGATTTGCTGCTAGATTAGATATTATTAACCGTCTCGCACGGAATGTCGGCTCTTCTTGCATTAATCCACGGATTTTTTTACAAACCTGATCTGTAATCTACACCGTTACCACGCCTTTTCCGTTCGCGACCATTCTCGCGAGATCAGTATAATTATTCGAATAAACGCGATTCCATATGTGGAATTATATCAGAATTGCTCCAACTTCTGTGCCAATTAATTAAACGGATTTCTACCCAATTGAGCAGCAATGACGTACAATTGCTATTGACACGTCGATGATAGGAATCCGCTGCGACTCAGTTCTGGCGGTTCGACAAACAACTTTCCATGTTTAGATGATGTGTTAGAAACTTAGCGCTTCACGCTGGAAAGGGTAAACTCACACAATTGAAATGGCAAATGATTTTTCTTTCGTTAAGCCAATGGCCTTTGTTACGATTGCTCTCGCGTTAATTTGAAAAAATTGAGGAGGATTTCAACAGCGAAGATTTATCTTCATTACATATTGGCACGATATGTTTCCATATGCAATTATCATGACAGCGATGTTAGAACGCCACACAAATTTGTTGAGAAATGTATTTTTGCGTTACGTGTATGTACGAATTTTTATCTCTGCATTTGTTAAAAATGAACAACTCCCTAGTTTTTCAAGCAAGAATTTGATTATTGATTATTAAACTTTCGAATTTTCGAAATACTTTTGTAAATTTTTAAATCTTGAAATTTAGGGGCGTGCAATGTAATGTGCTTTACAATTATTTATATGTTTATAGGATGCCCCTTATGCCAGATTTTAATAGTCAAAATGTTCTATGAATAAAAAATGAGAAAAAAATGTTATATAAACATAGGTTTTCTCTTATAGAAGTTTTATTAAAACATTATAACAAAACAATGTGTCACAAATAAAAGAAATCTGCTCTTGTTATTAATAGGATACAGTATAATTTTATTAATATTTCATTGTAAAATGTCGGTCGTTCTTGTCGGCGATCATTGGGTTCATTTCGTTCTTTATCTGTATAACATCAATTTTATATATGGAGCACATATATAGAAAAGAAGATTAATCATTTCTCTGTGTAATCTGTGTAATCTGTATAAAGGACAGAAATAAAATATCAAGAAGGATGTATAAACTGGATAATGATTTAATTTGCAAAAGACTTTTTTATTTTTAGATATTTCGACATGTATGCAACTTGAAGAGAAGCTGCGAGGACAAAAGACAGCTTCTGTGAGGACGAAAGTGAAACCTTGCTCAATATATCACAATAAACACGTTTGTCTAGTAGTCGTAGCGATCCAATTGCAATTTAGAAACTATGTGATATATACCTCTTATAACAATAAGGAAATATAGAAAACGAATTACTCCCGTTACTCGCCCGGCTCTCGTGAGCGCCATAGTGTGGCATATGTGTTGGGGATCATACGCCTAACAAGATGCGTTATCAAGTTAGCTTCGGCACGGACCCCGCTCTAATAGCTACGGGAGAAGCTTTAAAAGAGGTGGGCAGCATTGCAGCCCAACAGTCGTCTTCGCAGTAGATCGGTGAGGTGACCGGGATTTCGTGCGAGCGACGATATGAGGATCACGTGTCTTATTACGGTGAGTGAAGACAATTCGTTAGCGAATGATTGTCTTCGCAGTGACAAAAGTGAACGTCGAAATTACAACCAACGTGACTAATTGCATGAATTTGTCGAGATTACTGTCGAAACGACACGGATCGTCCGCTAACATCATCCGCGATTTCGTCAATAATATTTTGTTCGATAATAGTGAACACAAGGATACACGTGAATAAGGGCAATTAAAAATAGTAGCTATTTATTAAAATATTTTTAACTTTTCTAAATGAACAGACAAAGAAGCTAATGTGAGTCCAGCGCAGAAAAAAGTGTGCAACTAAAATAAATTTAAATGTTTAATATTCATCAATACAATAATTAAATTTTTGGCAATAGTTAAAGTTTTGGCACATTTTTTTGCATTATTTTCAATATTACAATACAAAAAGAAGATTTATTGTTCATTGATTTAATATTACATAGATTTAAGATTTCGCGAACTCAAAGAAAAATTTTATAATTTGAATTAAATTTTAAAAACGTTAAAATACGTTGTTCACAACGAACAACGGGTTCCATAGTAGCAGATATTTATTTTATCTAATTATCTTTCTTGTTGGTTAAAATAATTAGCGATATACTTGTACTAAAATTATTACTTAATAAAATCACTAACAGTCTATTGAACTCAAAGATCGTGATGCTAATGTTGATTAATTTGAATAAAAGATCTTTGTAATAAAAAGAATTGCCAAGAGAACATGTAAATGGGACTCTTTGAATTTTGAATTAATTGTAGTTTAGTTTGCAACTGGGAATTCATTACGTCGGATTTTTCAATGTTTTTAGAGTGCTGGCATTACTTTAAATCCAAAATTCGCAGACGTGCGTGCGAGAAAAGTTCCTATTACATATCAATTTTTTTATATTGAATTATTAGCAAATTTAGTTGGACGCATTGATATTAAAACTGTTGTACACAATTTTAGAGCGCAACTTGAGAAAGCTAACTAATTTTAAAAAATTAAAAAATATTTACTAGAACTTTAATGCCTTATATAAGCAAGTTTGAGGTAATAAATTTCAAAATCAATTAGAGTCATAAGTATATTTTTTATACAACAAATTTCTTTTAAGGACTGAAAGTCTTAATATTATATTTAATTTTGGTTGTAATAAAACTTCATTACAATATGTCACATATTGTTGTTATAATAAATTAAAATACATTAAAATAGTCTTTTTTGCAAATTTAATCGCAAAATTGTGATAAAGTAATTTGAGAACCAAAATCATATTCAATATCTAAAAACTACGGAAAATGATTACTCTTCTTCAGACAATGGTCCCAAGATTTCAATTCAAAACTAGTGTTAATATAAACAATACATTTTAAAACATAATACATTATATATATATATATATATAATATATTATAATACAAATTAGAAATATATTTTATGTTTCTATATGTATGTTCATGTATGATTATATATAGGTCTGTGCGTATCTATCAACATCCATCGTATCTACAGAGGAAATTCAATATTTGAATAGGTAAGTAGACTTTTGATAACAACACTTTGTTTTTTATTATTTATATTAAAAAAAATAAATTTTTTCTTGAATAAAAGTTTGTTTCTTTTTTCTTTTTTATATAATTCTAAATTCATGAATGTTAGATTTAATATTAGATTTAAAAGTATAAGATAAAAATATAATATTTTTATTATTGACCAATATTTTAATAGTAGCAGTAAAACATACGTTTTTCAATTTCAATTCTTTCGTTTTTATTGTAAATAATACATATGCATTATATATTATTGTATATTATTCTCCAGGCTAAAGAGAACAAGGTCGCGAGAAGAATCGATTCTCGGCGATGCTACAGCGAGTAAAGTCGAGTTAAATCCCATCCCTGAGATTCGTCCCGATGTATTTTCCACATTGCGAAAGTCTCAATCACAGGGACAAATTGAGACTTTTCAGAAGCCCTATCAAAAGAAGGTCCACGAGTCCCAGTCTAAACCCCAACAGCAACATCCCCGTTCCGGGGGTGGTCCAATATCCGATCGTTCGAGACGTCCGGTAAAACGTTTGAGAGTCCGTTCGATCGCCGGATCAACATACGAGGTGAACGAAAATGAAGTCCACGAGTTAATTCAGGAAGCGATCCCGGAAGTGCACGACGAAGGGCCGATTTACATCAAGCCTGTGTATCGGGTCCACACAAAGAAGAATGTCTTCGATTCCATCGTGGACATACTGCATCAATTGCTGGACCCGCCTAAGAAGGAGTTGGGCCCGATCGTCGGACCCATCCATATGCCGGGGTCCAAGCGCAAGATCTACTTACGCCTGATGGAACCGGTCGACGAAAGTCACATTAACGTGCGCTTCGTAACGCAAGTACCGGTACCCGTGGTTAACGAGGAGATTATTGCAGGACGGGAACACGATTCTAGCTTACCGTATCTACCTTACGTCGATCCCTCTGTCACGCTTTTGAACAAACTTCCCGGGTCGAGTGACACGAAGTTCAGTTCCTCCAATCGTCATCAATCGATTCAGTTACCCGGAAACGTCAGCCACGTAAAGGTCGGTAAAAGTCGAGGGCCGCAACCTAAACCTGCGACTAAACTGAAGCGTCCTCCGGAGAATCCTCGAGAAATCAACAAGGAAAATGTATTGCCTGTTAAAGTGGTACCTGCGAGTGAGGCGGAAAGCGACAAGAACCACTTGTATTATCAGTATCAGACGGAAGATGATGCCGTGAGACATGTGACGGAGATAATTAACGAGGCGACGGAGAACGAGCAGGGTTCGAAGGATATTTTACAACCCTGGTATCAACTGAGCACGCACCGTCTGCCCCTTCGGCAGATCGCCCCGCTGTACCCGCTCTCGGCGATGGAACCGACTGATTCCAGCTCTAACGAGAACACATACAAAGTGCCCAGCGACAGTCTCACCGTTCCCGGCTCGCTGCAGTCGAGCACGTACGAGCAGTACGCGGGCAATGCTAACGCGGCAAATCTGGGATTCTACGATCAGCCTTACACCATCCCGAACGCTTACCCGACCACTCACCAGAAGCAAAACGAGTTTAGCAACGCCCCGCCCAGCTCTTACCCGATCTCTTATCAGAATCAAAACAAGTTCAACAACGCCCCGAGCTCCACTTCTTACGTCAAGCAGAACGATCTTTTCAGTGCCCCCACCATCTATACGAGTCCTCACGAGAAGCCGGCCGCTCCACCACCGTCGAGCTCTTACGCGACTTCTCACGGGGCGCAAAACGGCGCCAAGGCGCTCCAAATTGGTTCAAGTTCTCAGAATGCACTTCATATCATAGATCCGCCGACTTATCCTCTCGATCCTCGGCAAGTTCCGAAGAATCATCACGCCAATAAAGTATTCGAATACACTACGGGTCAACAACAGCCCAATATTAATTTGCCCGATGTCAACGAGATAGGCTCGTCGACACGCAACACCCCGCAGCGCGGTGTGCTGCCGATCGAGCAGGTGACATGGGGAAAGGTGAAACGAGAGAAGAGCGAATTGAATTTACAGAAGAACGCGGACAACGCTCACGAGACGTGGCAGCCGCTTATGCTCGTGTCCGAGGATGTGGACTGGCAGAAGGCGTTCGCCAATTTGGCGAAGGTTGCCAACCTTAATCAGCACGAGGCCGTCACGAAACAGCAACAATCATTTAATCGCCAGAGACAGGTTTCGCGAAGCACCACGCCGAGCACAATCGAGATGGGCAGGGTCGATCAACGTCAAAGTAGTAAACATCGCAACCCCCCTTTAGCGGCAGCTCAAAATACAGGATGTTTGTCCTTAGACAAGAGGGGTAAATGCGTGCAAACGGAATCGATCGTTTCGACATCTCGTCCGGAAGACGCCGTCAAGTTCGTGAGGGAGCAGCCGCAGTCGGCCGCCTATATCGAACCGGTTATGATTACGCCAAGATCGGCGAGCAATACGGTTGAAATATCGCGACCGAATGTCACCGTGATGAGCTGGATAGAAGAACCGCAGCCGTTGGTGATGACGACCGAGAGGACTTTTGCAACGAACAGCACTACAGAGAAATCGCTATTAATTAAAAAGATTAAAAATACGCCGGAGAAATTAATCGAAGATAAAACAACATTGATTGAATCGATGATGAGTAATTTTACTTTAGAGAAATCGATGGCGGGCAGTACAACGGAAAGATCGTCGATAAGCGGCACGTCTGAAGCGTCCATAAGACAAAAAAATACCACGAAAAGGCTGCAATTGCCGAAGCGGCCTTTGATCATGAAAAAACCGACATTCGTATTGAAGGGAACGGAGCCGAATAGCACCACGAAAAGGACGGTGACGACGACATGGAAACCGATGAGTAGTACGACGGAGATAAAGAGGACAGCGGGGCGATCGAAGTATTGGGGGAGCGCGGGTTCGAAAACGAAGTCGAGTAGCATTTGATAATTTATCCATTAATAGCGCGTTTCTTTTAGGCACAATCGATTTTAGGCAGTGCATTCTTACGCATTTAAATGTTTACGCATTTGCATGTTAGTCATGATATGTATAATGCGCAATGATATCCCCAAAATAGCTTACGATCCTTCACATATAAAAACTAAAAAAGTCATTTGCACGTGTATTTGCATGTATTAACGTACGTTAATATCATGTAATCGATTAAAATTATCTGTTTATTAAAAAAGTTTGAATAGATATAGCTATGTTCTCGCTGCCTTATTTGTGTTTCTAAAATTACTTAGTTTGAAATGATTGTCATCGTTTAAACTTGTAAGTATTTGTAAAATCTTTAAAGAGAATATTTTTTACGAGGCAAGGATAATTGGTTTTGAGAAATCGAAATAAGCTTGGAGACTGATCGTTTGCGAAATAAAACTACATTTTATAATGAAAAATGAAGGAACGAGAGAAATATATTAATATTTGTGTTTGATAAGAAATATCGTATTATTGTTTGAAAGCTATATGTGTTATTTATCGTGTTTTTACTTACATGGCACACAGAATAGATTATTTCAAGACGTCATTTTCTGATATGTGAATTCTTTGATCAAATTGAAAATCTTTTCTTATATAAATTCATATATTTTGTTAATTAATTAATTAAAATTTTATAGATTTTATTTGAATTTTTGTTATCTATTCGAATCTCATTTGTTCAATATCTCTTGAGAAAGAAGATTTGAACCGAAATAGTAATAAAGTAAAAAGGTAAAAAAAGTAAGAACCAAAATGGTAATCAAATTTTTAAATGAAAGGCATAGCCATAATTCTGAGTCATCATATATATATATATATATATATATATATATAGGAATTAAATTAAACCTAACATTATTGTTAACAAATATTACCCTTCAAAGCTTCAGTTTGTTTATATATACATACATATACTGTATATTTTTTGTTGTATTATTTTTAAGTTGTAAATAAATAAATAGGTTGCTGTATGATTTATTTCTAATTCTCGCTGATTGTTGATACATTCATTAAGCAAATAAATAAAATAAATAATAAACAATATTTCACTTTCGGTTTGCCCTAATTTCTAATTGCCTTCATGGAGGTAAGTTACATTTTGCATAACGAGTGGGAAAGCGATACGGACAATGTGGGCGTTATTATTGTTAAACTACAATTAGGGATCCACTTAAGATAATACGCGGTATTAGAAAGTGTTGATGTACGTTTTAGATACATTTATGATACAGTTTAACGTTAAATGTTAAATATTAACACCTCCATGATAAAAGTGAAATTAGCGATTTGGAAAATAACAGTTAAGTAAAAATATTATTACAAAAGCGGACACAGCTTAACAATTTAGAAAGAAGATTAATTTTACATATTTTATTCAATCAAGCAATAATTTTATTGATCAATAAGATTTTTTTTTTGTGAAATTTGTAAAATTTTGTATAAACTTGCTTTAATGAACGATACGAGCGACACAGCTAGGCATAACATAATTGCAGTTTTTAGAAATTTGATAAATACGATGTGATTAATACGATAAATTAAACATAAAAGAATGTCTTATTTTTTAATTAAGAATGTATGCGTCACATCTCAAAGCATTACTAAAAATATAAAAATTTCATAAATTGTTCTATTACTATACGTTTGAGTATTTGTGTAAAATTAGAGCATAATTCTCTTATTGGTAATCATTGCAGAAACTGGATAACTAAACCTACTGAGGCAAACTAGGTAACAAGTTTTTATCTGATCAAAAACATAAATACAAAAACACAAGTAATTACATATAAATATTCGCAAACGTTTCGATCTGTAATGAGATCATTTTCAATAATAGTTTTGCGGTACTTTGCTAAATATCAAACCGAATATTTGTAAAATTGAATTGCTTATTACAATCCAGAAACGCAATCGCCTACTAGTTGTCAATTAATAAGAGATCTTCTTTGTCCATAAAATCAAAATTTGATAAATCTCAAAAGTCTCTTATTGGTTCGAAAGTTATTTGATTTTTTGCATCGATTTTTATAAAATAGTGTTTCCTAATATTTATTTACAAATTTGAAAAGAAAGTAGCATTATAAATTAAATCAAATTTTTTATATATATACTAATAAAACTCTAATAAATATTTGTATAAAAGTTTATTTAGATTCACTTGTTCGTTTAACAGCTATTTACTTAAAACTGTAGCAAAATTTGAACGCCGCACTACATTAGCGCTACATTATATGAAAAATTAATGTTATTTAATTATTCGTTATTTTGTTTTTTACAATTGATTTTAGGGTTTATTCAATACCAAAATTTTTAATCGTCGATTAGGGAAAATGTAAATATGAACATCCTTAATTTTTCTTGAAGATGTTAAATATTATGTTTTATGATAGTTGAACTTCTTATATGTAATCAAAAACTTATTTTATATCTCAGATAATATAAACCTAAAAAACCTACAGTTTTTAAATTCCTATAATTTTTAACTGCAGGTATTGTATTACAGCCTAAACGTCCTTAAAAATTAACAACAGATAAGCTTAAGATAGCTAAAGGAAAGAAACAGAATATAATTATAACTGTTGTAGTAATTTCTATAAAATTATAACTCTTCATTAACTGCTCATCTGCAGCGAGATATGTTTGGCAAAAGAAAAGATGTGAGTGCCGAAGAAAAATGTGATAAGTGCACTTTCCAAGTAACGGTCACGGCCCTTGCATCGATCGTCGAACGGTTTTCCATCCGCTAGAGATTAACGTGGCCGTGAAATCAACATGGTCGGCGATTATGATCAGGAGGCGGTCACGCCGCGGCGATCTTTTTCTTCTATTTCTTCTTTTTCTTCGACCGCTGAAAAATACGAAACCGCGCTGCTAATCGCAGAAACACGTTTGTATAATATATACGCGCGTGTAGGCGGGGTTTTTTGTGTGGTCTTCAGCAGCTTTGTCGATTTCACTTTTAAGTCACTCTCGTACGCGTTTGTTCAAATAGGGAGCTTTGCTGTTTGCGTCTTCAAAGGCCACGTTTCAAAAAGAAGGATATGCTTTGATACACGATTCATTGCTAATTTGCTTAATTTCTAATTTTTGCATTTAATAGTTTATTTAATACTTCTTTTAATCTTTGCTGTGCGACTTAATAAATTAAGATAATTCTCATATTTGAAATAGAACGATTTTAATAAAAGTTCTAAAATTTAGCTGTTTAGATATAAATCTAAAAATAATTTTGTTGGACCATCAAAGTAGTTACGTGGAATCGCAATATTGATAAGTAATGCTACAAAAAATTTAATATTCTAGCAACAGTTTGAGCGTCTTATACAATTATTTTGATGATCTAATAAAAAATATTTTCAGATCTATATTTAGCTAAACTTTAGGATCTTTTAATAAAATCGTTTTTTTTTTCGTGTACAATACAATGTATATATTTAATTTAATACCTAATTCATATTATTTAATATTTATCATTTCAAAATTTTATATTTTATGACTCGTTATAACTAAATTCTAAATTGTAAACCACAAATCATACAATCTTACGACTTATAAAGGAATACGAACCAAGTATCTCTCTCCAATTTTAATAAGTGCTGGATATATTAAAATGTAGACAAAATAAAAGATACGATATATTTTTATAAGTGCTATCGTATGTTAAAGAGGTGAAATCCTTTGAAAAAATTGATTATTATATACATATCTTTCGATGCAAATATCTTAACTATAAAAGATGGAAAAAATTTTTAAATGAAAGTTGAATGGTTTCAAGAGTACTTTATAAAAAATTTTCAATGATAGAAGTTAAAATAAATTATGTATGTAAAGATATTGTAATAAAAATTTTATAATAACAATACTTCTCGTTAAATCAAAGTAAAAAAAAAAAATAGAAGTCAGTAGGACGAAAATCCGGTGTAACAGAATTGCTTCGTGATATTTTAGAGCGATAAATACAAGTGATAGTGATGAATGCATGTTGGGCGGAGTTTCATGGAATATTTTGTGTAGAGATTCGCCTCGCTAGTTGCTGGTTGCTCTATATAAACGTTCGCTTTATAGCTACACGATGCTCAGAAGAAATCTCTCGTTTGACCAAAGTGTTTCGTGAAAAGCTTTACAGAAACGGATTGTGAGTTTTCCACGATGCGGCATAAATTCCTGGTGAGACATTTATTACAATATTATATTTAAATTTTGGTTACATTTAGTATTTAATTATTCAATTTGTTTCAATTTATTTTAATTTAATATTAGAATAAATTTAATTTAACAAGACCTGATACCAATTTTACAATTAATTTTAATTTGATATATTTAAATTTTTTAAAAATATTTTTATTATTTCTTTTTCATTTAATTCAGAAGAGTTTATATATAATAACGAGATCACTATATACATATCAATATAGTATTAGATATTAATAATTTAAATAATTTTTATTCGTTGCAGTATTCTATCTTGTTCTTAATAGTCTTTGCACTGACACATCAATCGATTGAATCGTAAGTATTTATAGCCATTTATATGTGGAAATATAATAAATATACATGTGAAAGTGTCATACATGTGAGCTCTTTTTTCTTTTAGGAAGAAAGTGGTAATACACGTCCCTTATCGGGTAAAAAATGTGAAACATACACATACGATCTATAAGATAATTTCAGATCATCATCATGGAAAACATAAAAGTGATGAAGATTATTATTACGAAGATTATTAAAAATGTGTATTTTTTTAAGACTTTATAGATTATGTAATTCATAAATAGAGCAAAAAACAGTCATTAGATTTTTATTAACAATAAGTACAATGTATCTAGCGGTTTTTTCATTTTATATTGTGTAGTAAGTGCGTACTATTACTATGTTTATATTTATAAATAAATGACATGTAAATACAAAATTTCCTTTTGTTATTTTTTCCATATGAAACTGAGATAATTCTTAATATTTAAATAAATGCGAAACTTTTTTTAAGAATTCAATAATTAAAAAATAATTATCTTTAACTTAATAATTATAAATAATATAAACTCGATTTTTATCTTTCAAATTTACATTTATTTTCAAATTATTAATATAAATTAAATAGTTCTTCAAGCAGATTTGTTTTATATATTTTTGATATTCCTAAAATTTAAATTAAAAATTAAATTTTATTTTATTGCATTATTTATCCTGTATATTTTGTCTTATTTAATTGTAAGTTGTAATACTTATTTAATATAATTTTATTTGAATTTTATTTGAGTAATATGCTATTAAAATAAATATTTAATTAATGTTTAATATTTTAATCAGTAATAATACTTAAATTATTATTAGTACAAATAATGAATGTAAACATTTAGTTCCATTTAATAACCAATAAATCTAATATAAATCGCTTTAATGTATAAATATAACCACATATTTTATGAAATGAGAGATAATATTATTCTAATTTTCAATTATTCTGTAATAACAAGTTAAAGTTTCTTGTTTATTGAAAAGATCAAAAAGTGATATTTTCTTATGAAATAATATCTAGCAAAACAAATAATTTTACCACGGCATTGAACTTGGCTAGACTATATCTTCATGGTTTATTGACCTCATAATTTCTAAAGCCACATCAGTCACGGATCGACAGATGAAGCATATCACCTGAAAGATACAGCGAAAGTGATCAGCAGCCGTGAACTGCATCAATGGCATTGTCGCTTCGCAAGATTCGCTTCGATGAAAAGAAGATGGCATATAAATGGCGAATCACCGTCGAATGATATCAAACGGCAATTGACTGCTGACAATCGCGTTTGCGATCGCGGTTACGACGATTCGACAATAAATCATGGTAATAACATTGATAAGAACATTGAAGTGATATTGACGAGCGATTTATATATATATATACGTCATGAATATTTGAGTAAAAGAAAAAGAAAAACAAGGGAGGGACTTCAAAAATCGAATTCCGCACGACTGCTCCCGAGAACCGCAATTAAGTGATTCGAGTATTAACATCGTTAAGAGTTATGTGCGCGTGCATCTTCCTTGCAAATGCGATTCAAATCAATGAGAGATCGTAGATATCGGATATAACGGAATTATAATCAACATAAATATCGCCAATTAATCCGGAGAGCACGTACGGATAATCTGAGTGTAACGACCACAACTTTGTGTTTCAGAAGATCATTATCAGTCTACTTTTCATTCTGTCGAACGGGGTGCTGAACAGCGGAAGCGCCAAGGAGCAGTGAGTATGCAACGGTACTATGTTATTAGGTAATTTCATCTATTTCGCACGGAATTGCTTTGAAAGATGCATTGGCACTAAACGCGGCGCACACATATACTTTACGCTTTCTTGTAGAGAAAATCATAGTCCACGCGCTTACTCTTGTTTTCACTTGTTGGCAAATTAAAGAATGGATACACTCCCGTCTTTCGACGTTATTACATCGTCTTATTAATTGCTCTTTCATAAAGAGAATCCTACCCGTCCTTTTCTGTTTTGAATCCTTATAACTTGGGTTCTAATCAAAATTTTTTAGGTATTCAGGAGTAAAAATCGTTACTCTTTCTAAAGATCTAATCAATAAGTAGTCTATGAGATATCTGGAAAAAAAGGTGTAAGGTTGAAAATAAAAAGAAAAAGAGTAAATGACCCCTGTCTTTTTATTGACAAATATTTAATTAACTAATGATTTTTTGTTAATTTTTAAATAGAATTTTTAAATCAATATAATTATTATTTAAATAATTAATTTATAATAATCGATGTATTGTATTCAAAAGGGTAGGCAAAATCATTTATTAATTGAATATCTGTTAGTAAAAAAGTAGGAGTCACTCTTTTTACCTCCACTTTTATGTCTTTTTTCCAGATATATGTCACTCTATTATCGATTACATTTTCGAAAAGAACTATATTTATCTCTAATACCAATTGTATAAAATAAATTGTATAAAATTGTATAAAATGATATAAAAATTTGGATTAGACTCTAAGTTACAAGAATTTAAAACACAGTCTCCTGGAACTTAATAAGTTAATGCGTTCTAAATTTTTGGATACACCTCTAATATTATAACGATCTATTTGAGTATTATAATAGCACATTTGTAGCTTCTTCGGAAAAGCGCTGGTTTTTTAACTGATTTTATTTATTTGTCACGATTTTTTTTTCCATTAACAGCGTGCACTTCAAGATTCACGTACCCGAAATAATAAAACATCATATTCATACGACAACGGTGTTCATACATATTCACAAGCCGGATATTTCACCGAAGAAGTCCAAGCCCAAGGAAGAAGCGCCAAAGAAGAAGAAGACCTACCACAAGGAAGCGCATCACGAAGACTGGAGTTCCTGGAGTAATTATGGCTACCACAGCGATCACGACGATCAATCGGGTAATCTGAAGAATCAAAAAGATCACAAGGACGACGATGTTCATAAAGAGGTGGGTCATAGGAATAACAACCCTTTCGGGCAGTATCACAGAGACTCTTACATGTCCATGTTGCAAGACGACGACAAACCCGATTTCTTGAAGGGGCAACACGGCGACATGATGGGGTATCATCCGCCGCAGTACGAGGTGAAAGAAGACGTCAAGGAGATAGATAACAACGACATTGAGCCTTACATACACACGTACGAGGAAGGTTATCGCAAGGGGGGCGAATCCGCTCTCGGGCACACTTATTCGGGCGACGTCACGAAATTCTACGACGACAAACACGAGCAGGGCGGCCACTCCGTTGAGGATTATAAAAATGAGTCGAGGGAGAAAACCCATGCGGGTCGTTACTTCGTCGATGATTCGGAATATCAGCACAACAACAAAGCGGAGAATCGCCTGTCTCCTAGAATTGTCGCGCGGTCGCGAGGCAACGGACGAGCAAGAATAAAGATAGATCGTGCCAATAACATTAACTCTGCATTCCTTAGCGAGAAAGATAAAAATAAAAAATAACGATGAATTTAGCAATATTTTATAGAAAGTTAATTTTCATTAACAAAAAAATCAGAAATTCTTTGACTTTCATCGATGTAATGATGTGTATGTCCGGTCAAAAATAAACAAAGAGAGAGACTTAAAAGTTAAAACTAAATACTAATAATAATAGTATTGTTATAATAATACGTATTACTGAGATAAACATTTTTAACACAATATATTAAACTAAGATTATAATATATAAAATAATATAAAAATGTATTAAGCTAAATAATAATAATAAATAATAAATTATAATTAAGCTATCGTATTGGGCATAATATTAGACATTTCATGAACATTATATGTCTATAATAACCTGTGTACTCACGAGATGTTCGCTGGACGCAATAAAGAGGTAATAATTTGTGGATTTATTAAGGTAATAATATTGCAACTCGAAACACCGTCAATCGCGGATAATTATCGTGAAGGAGATACAACATGTACTTTGCATTAAGCGTTTCAAGAAACTGATAATAGGAATTGACGCAGCAATAAAATCCACGTTTATGAAAACATCATTTATTTGCAACATCTATGTATTACTTTATAACGTACTACGATATTACAGTAATGATCAATCTGCTTATTATCTCGCCTTCAGCGTCTCCGCGTTCCGCCTCCTTGCTTTTCATGCAAGAAAGACTTCCGGATTGTGATCGTGAACGAGATTAAAGACTATAGAAATTTTTCTTTTCTATTATCTTGCTTTAAATATACGCGTATTTTTAAATGCTTGCAACTTGGTGTCTTGCAATTTTCCAATTTTACATTACAAATTATTGCATAACTTCTCGAATTTTTTTTAGAGTATTCAGATGACCATATTTACATTACACATTTGGAAGCGGGAAAATACATGCTTTTTTTCCAACACTTTAAATAATAAATCTAAGTGCAGTATGCCTAGTAATGAGCAACCCGTCGTACTCAGAAGCATTCCGATGACGAATAGAAACATAATTGACTATATAAAAAAGCAAGCAAATTTACACATTACATTATATTTAACAGTATTTAAATTATTATATTTGTTTTTGGACAACTTTTATTTGCTAAATAATATTTTTGGTTTAAGAAAGATGTAAACGTACGTACCACTTTTTTATATACTTGGCGTAAATTTTTTTTTAAAGAGTTTTTGTTAGGTTTTTATTATATCAACATGTTCGCTTTATGTTAAAACAGGCAGCATATCCATCATCTTATTTCAATAGAGTGTGACATATAAATTGTAATAAATTGATAAGTTTAATATCTATAAGAGCTTTAATTGAAATTGTATACTACTATTACCATTCTATACAATTTATGCAGCGAGCTAGTGAGGAAAAGTTCAGTTTGATATATCAACGGCGTGTGCAATGACCAAAAATATTGAAACAATTTTAAAGCCACTTCTAATAATCAGTTATGTGTTTGGTTTAAGAATTGCTAATTTACCTATAAATCGCATAAAACTATGGTTTAGTCTTTTATATATGCTGTTAATTTGGACAGTTTACTATTGTCTTTTAACATCTCCATTTGTAAATTCTATTCAAAAATCGTATTCAATTCACTACCACATATGCTATTCGTTGGAAATGTTTACAAGCATATTGTGTATCTTGTCTGGTATTTACAATAACAAAGTAAGTAAATATATATATGGTAATATACATATATGTCATTAGCTGTAGTAAGCAATTTCGAATGTATTTCCACAGTTACGATATTTAAAATAAAATATTGATGCGACATGCATTAATAAAATTTCCCATTTGATAAAATTATTTACAAAATTTCTATAAAAGAATTTGCAAAGAGAACGCATTAAAAAATTATATTTTTGATAACTAAAATGCATTTGATACTAAATGCGATGTGTAATAGATACAATTGAGTTTTCAAAGAAATAATTATTATTTACTCGTCTAATTGCGTCCTTTTTCAGAAATTTCACAATTCTCTGAAGAAACTCGACATTATTGACAACACATTACTTGAACTCGGAACAGTGACAGATTATGACAAGTTACATAAGAAAACAATGTGGATCATCTTAGGATGGTTTGTAATAGTCATATTAATGAACGGTGTAATGGCGCTATCCGTAAGTGTGGAACATGATTGTGGCATTCTGACTGCTATAATTGTCGTCTTTATACGAAGTTATTATTTTCATATTCGTGTTATCGGTTACTTGACTACTATAATTATTCTTGGGTTGGTACAACTTTTTAATACATACATATATAACAATTATTCCACAACTTAAATCATGTATATACATTAATAAATCATCAGCCATACAAATTTAAGCACTATTGAAGTATTTTCAAACTTGATGTACTTATTTTTTAATAACAAAATCATTAATTAATTTTCTTTTATATATTTATAGATATATTAGATTAAAATTTGATCAAATTAATAAACACCTTCAGAATTTGATGACAGATAACGATCATAAAATAAAAGTTTCAAAAAATCTCATAATACCTTCGCATCGACATCAGTTTTCAAAAAATTTAGATACCAAACGCATGATATGGATCATTAGGTAAAAAATCTAATCAAATCAAAATATCACTACATAAATAGTATTAAATAAAACTAAACAAATATTTACATATGGCATATATAGTATATACACAACATACAAAATAAAATGAAATATTTACAGACACCTTCACTTGGAGTTATGCAAAATATCCTATGAGATAGATTCTATATTGGGAAAAGAAATCTCTTTTAAAATGGCATGCTATTTTTGTTGGATAATCTTCGACATCCGCTCAATTTTCTTCGCAATACTTATTGACAATTACGTAAAATTTTATAAAATGTTTGCAGCATTGTACGTAATGTGGCTTTCTCATAACATTTTTAAATTTCTGCTCTTTAATTACGTGTGCGAAACAATTAGTATCAAGGTACTGAAGTCTATATTTAATTCAAATAACATTTATCTACCTAAACAATAGTTTGCTTAAAATTTGTTTTGAAAGAAAATTTGACTGTTCAGTAATATTTTGTTTTAATTTACTGAATTAGAACTACATTTTATATTTTATTTAACATATTCTAATTTTAGGCAAGTGCAACAGCAATTTTATTAAATAGATTATTGTATTCCACTTATGATGTTGAAATTCGTGAAGCCGTAAGTTTTAAAATGAGTTCATTGGAACATTATTAAAATAAACATTTAATAACATCTAAATAATCAGCACATGTATGTATATTAATAATAATCGATTGTATATTAATATTCACAGATTTCACAATATTCATTACATATTGTATATATGCCACTTAGATTCTGCGGAATAAGACTTTTCCAATTTGGTTTCAAATTTCTTCACAGAGTACGTAGTACTTATACAATACACGTAATTTAAATTCATGATTAATATTTAAAAGGGAAATTTATACAACGTTTTTATTTTTAGTTTGTCATGTCAGTTGCGACTGTTTTAGTTGTAGTGATACAAGCGCGCGAATATATGTAAATATAATTATTAAATTATAGCAGTTTAAATAATATTAGACACTTTATAAAATGCATTTAAATAATGTCTATCGAAATAAACAGCAATGCTTTATAATTGTATGTATTTATGATATTTATGTTAAGCATTTACTACAAATGTAAAAATAATTAAAATCTGTCTTACTTAATGAAATTTTTAAATATGTACAGTAATGTCATATGAAAAAAACTTACAATAAAAAACGAATGTCAAAAATAATATTCACATTTTTATTATATGAACATGTCCGCTTCACACATGTTAAAACAGGTGTATCCACCATTTAGTTTCAATCTTTGACCATATAAATATGGACTGATAGTAATTAACTTCATACGTGTCGCCAAGCTAGATGTAAACTCTACATCAGTCAGTAATTTTCTGCCGAGAGGGGGAAGGCTCCTGTGAAATCAGCGTGTTTACGACGTGTAAAGGAAAGGTGCTGAGTCTGTTTTTAATTTCTTTCCATTAATTTGAGATTTTTTCCGGCTCTCTATCAATTTTCAACATAACATTT